CTTTGGTTCTGATTCAATTCTGCCTAATAAAAATTACATTTTCGTTATAAATTACTGTTATTCGACAAATCTTGGATTATATGGGATTCTAGATAATTAAAGACTAGGCCAGAGATCATCAGAAATAAGTATTGAACTATTTATTGTAATTTAGCAAAGTGTATCTGCAATGTTGAGGAATTTTATATTCTCTATGGAGTCTGAACCATTTTAACCAACATCATACTCTGTAACATCATCACAAAGCTATTCGGGTCACAAATAACATTCTATAGTACTAAGATATTTTCATTAATCGATGACTGAATAGTAAACAATGTTATTGAGATGGTGGAGAAGATTTCTAGCTCAGGTGGATGAATTTTGATGGAGTTTTGTTCTCTGAGCTGGATGGTTTGGTCGTGGAGCTTTTATCGTTCTTCTGAACGACATCATCAGCACAAACTTCAGATAGAAGTGAAGTGTTCGAATTTCTTCATATGCGTTTCACAGCTTGTTCTGTACACCTCGACGTTGATTGGTTCTTATTGAACCAATCTGAAGTTTGTGTTGATGATGTCGTTCAGAAGAACGATAAAAGCTCCACGACCAAACCATCTAACTCAGAGAACAAAACTCCATCAAAAACAATGTTATAGTTGTCAATGAGCGTAATTCTGTCAGTCAAATTACAAAGTAACTATTAATTTTTTTAAAAATAATACTATAAGATGCTTTTAATTCAAATATGAATTAAATCAAAGTGAATTATCAACCTTGTATGGTTTTGTAGAAGTCTACTTACTTACTCCTGTTACTTCCAATGGAACATAGGTCTCCAACTAGCATTCTCCAACCCACTCTATTCTAGCCCTCCTCCTTTATCCGGGCTTGGGACTGAGAGTAGCCCCAGATGGGCTCCAGGAGGAGTTGGTTTTGTAGAAACATTTATCAATTTGACATGTTACAAAGTGTAGAAACAAAGATGGATCAAACCATCCAACTCAGAGAACAAAACTCCATCAAAATCATCCACTTGAACTACAAATCTTCTTCACCATCTCGGGATCAAAGATGTCCGAATAATCAAACAATTATGGATAGTAAAACTTTAATCACAAAGAATGAGTCAAATGAAAAACAAAACAAAACAGCAAGTTTGAAATGATACTGAAATTCAAGTATGAAATTTAACCATTTTTCTTAAATGTTTATCCATAGACACTAACTGCTGTAGTGAATGAGAACGCAAATGGGTACAACCGAATGTATTTAAACACTTGCCCCTAAATTCCCTGGTACGGCCGAGGGTGGGAAGAGTGCAGTCTCCTTCACTAAATGCTCTCACATGACCACGTGCATACAGCCACTGCCAGGAAAGTCCTACTTACTGCCTTCTCGTGCCACGGGTGTTGTTTACGAAATTGAGAGAACGGAAAGAGAATGTGTGGCGCTTTAACCGAGTTGGTGGATATGGAGGATCCACCTAGGGGACATTAATTACTGCTCAGAGATTAGTTAATATAGACACTTCAATTATGCAGGAGGTAAGTTACTGTTCAAATAGCTCTATGATGGTGTGTGAGATTACGAAAACTAGTCTCTTCAAAATTCCGCGTACTCCTGACGGAAGAATGCTGAATAAAATGAAGCTTATGTCAAGTGGGATTCCTCGTCGACTAACTCCAACGATATAACATTAACCTGACAGTAAACACATCTGATGATATTATGTTACACTTAAAAATAAATTGTGAACTGTTATGTCATAAAGTTTAAATAAGACTGTATTTTAAACGTAATTCTTTCATTCGATCCTAATTAAATTCATTCATGTATAATTTCGAAGGGATTCATACTAGTACAAAATAACTCTCTAATACTCTGTGATGCAGGTACACCCAGCTGACGAGTCCCGAAAAGGACGAAACGTACCTCCTATATTCCACTACTAGCCACCATTTATTTCCTTTCCTGACTCTCAATTACATAAAATCAGTTTTGTGTATAAAAACATTAAAAATTTCTGTCAAATTTATTCATTCTGAAATGAAATGTCACTGAATTAAAACAACACAACTTATTTATTACGGGATGGTGTATGTGTCCTCGGTAAAGTGTAATTGTTTGACTAATGTTTATAATCATTTATTAATATGGAAAATATCTCAGTTCTCCATTCATCATCATCGGTTTGTGATCCTCACACACACACACACACTCTGCTTATCTGTGTATATGCATGTGCATGTGTATTTGTATATGTGATCCATTGAACACATGCATACATGATCCTCACTCTCACTGTCTTACTGAACTGATTAATTGCCTACTTGCCTACCCACTTAACTGACTACTTGACTGCTTGATTGCCTGCCTGCCTGCTTGCTTGCTTGGTTGCTTGCCTCACTGACTACTTGTATATCTATGGAAATGTCAATTATAATTAAAACAATTATATATATATATAACAAATTACTATACAGATAGAGATTGATAGAGATTTGTATCATATTGCAAATCTATTTGAAATTATTCTTCAAAACGATTCTGAAATTGTCTTATTCCTAATGAATCATTACAAGTAGTAGTACTAGAGAATTGAATGGGAAATGTCAACACATTGGAATGTGCCAGTTACACACATGTATGATTTGATTAGGATTGATGAGATAACATGTGAAATGACATTGAAATGTTGGTGAACTACTTGTAATAATGAGCTGTGTGTGTGTGTGTAAATGTGTAGTTGTAGGTGTATAGGTATGTGTGTATTCACTGACTAATACAAGACAAATTATAGTTTGAACAAGTAGAAATTAACCAATTCCAGTTTCCATGCATATGATATATACATAATGTATTGAGTCGTTCATAGTTTTGATCGAATTAGATTGACTGAGTCACTTTGTGGTCACTAGTCTGATTGATTCGATATCCCATGCACTATATCAGCTGGTGAACCTGTAAATCTGAGTGGACTGATGCCTATCTCACAGTGCAAGCAGTAACGATATAAGTAGCAAGAAAAAAATATTACACATGGAAGATAAAGTTGGTGAGCACACGTAACACATTTATCGATCACCTCATTAACCGATTTCCATTTTTTACCTGGTACTCTATTCCTAACCTAGACAAGCTTACTCAATTGTCTCAAAATGCATGAACATTGCTTTGAAGATACCTATGATCTAACACTTGTAACCTACGAATATCCCCTAATCTCAGTGGTCATGTCTTACATATATAAAGTAGAATGGAGCGAACGACTGCGCATTAAATTCGCGCTCTGTTTGGAAGACGGATATCTCGCCTAATCCAAAAGTGATGCAAGTTGATAAAAGCCTATCAAGCATTCTAACATTGTGCTTAGATTTCGCAAGATACCAAATCATCAGGACTGATGAGATCCACGAGATAAGTGGAGCGGTTGATGTATTCAACTACTTCACTACATATCATTAATTAGGGCGGTTAAGCAAGCCGATGCTGAAGTAGCTTTACATTTGACGGAAGACTGCATTTTGTCAGCGTCATCACCAAACATTACTATATCATTTGCGTATTTTAAGTCAACAAGTGAATTTGCTAGCAGAAGATCGATCCCTAACAAGTCAGACGATGAAAGTGTTATCTCTAAAAGTATGTCTATGACAAACTTAGATATAAATGGTAAAAGCAGACAAGCCTGACTAACACTGAGCAAAGTGACGAATTCCGACGACAATTAGCCATCAGCTCCAACTCAACCAAAATTGTTCGATTGGAGAACATGTACGAGGTTAATGTACCACCTTCGTACGCCCTTCGATGACAGATATTGCCACAGGACATCATGACCAGTGGAGTCAAACGCCGTCTTAGTGTCAAGGAATACAACTCTTGTCGGACGTCAAAAAGTATCTCTTTGTTCCAGAATCTTCCGCAGGGTGAATAGTTGGTCTATACATCCACGTCCAAATCTGAAACCAGCCTGGTTTTATCGGGTTTGCTCTTAACGAGCTCTTTCTTTCTTATTTTATACTAGTAAATATTACTGCTGTTTCCAAAGCTGTTTGGATATAATTCCAAGCTACTTTTCACGGTTGACTAACTTATTCTTTGTTTGCTCTTGAAATATATTCTTGATTTTTTCATCATTACGTTGAACTTTAAGAGATTTTTCTTGCTGTGGCTTTTCTATGTCTGATAAGATGCAGAAATATACGTCCTCGTAGTTGAGAAATCAGACACCTATATTTAAATGGAGATCGGTTTAGAAACGTTCATCGATTTACTTACATATATCATGATTGTCCGTTGCCGTTTTGACAATCTCTTAATTAGAATGAGAGTATACAGTGATTGTAGGCATTTTAATAGTTGAATTCATGAGTCAATTAAAGCTAGACCACCATTAAAAACATGTGAACACTCAACGACCGTTTCGTTCTAGTATGGGACTTCTAAACAGCGCACATCCACGATCCCGTGCGCTCAACTCGAACCCAAGACCTTTGGTTTCATGCGCAAACGCTAAACTTCTATACCACTAAGCCGGGATGGGGATCTTGACTACACATCACTGAGGAGTCCTGTACTAGAACGAAACGGCCGTCCAGTGCTTCCAGGTTTTCAATCCCATACTTGTACATAGATCTAGAAAAATTGTTTTCTCTGCATCTTATGGCTAACTTTCAATCAGTGAGTATCATCAATATTACCACTATTATTGCTACTACTAACTGATATCACTATATAACGAACAAAATAGGTCACAAGAGTAGAAAACATTGGTACATCTGCAAATTTGTATACTTCTGTGTATGTGTGTGTATGTGTGCGTGTTAACGAGAACAGATAAGTAGCACAGACAATCATCTTATTTACATAAGGGTAAATGAAATATTTAGGTTATAATGATGACAAAGGAAAAAAATAGCCTGAAGTAACAAAAGATTAAGGGTTCATTCAAATGAACAATTTATTGCCATGTTTCTTATTTCTATTGGACTATTGACTGAAAAATAAGATATAATATGAGAAGAAAATCACCCGCTGTTCAATTGAGTGTTAATTTTCAACAAATCAAATTGACAAGTAGTTACCACAAAGTTGGTCACCAGTATCTGCAATTCTCTGGAACAAAACACTTCCAACCCTGTCCCAACCAATCCTTTCCAGCCCTTTCCTGTTCCTATTCAACCTTTCCATATCTGCTTCTTTTGCTCGACCTAATATGTTCTTTGGTCTTCCTCTTTTCCATTTCCCTTCACGATTTCAAGTTAGGGTTTGCCTCGTGATGCAGTTTGATGATTTGAGTAATGTGTGTCCTATCCATTTCCATCGTCTTTTCCTCATTTCCTCTTCATCTGGAAGTTGGTTTGTTCTCTCCCACAGAAGGCTGTTGCTGATGATATCCGGCCATTGAATAATGAGTACCTTGTGTAGACAACTATTTATAAATATTTGCACCTTCTTAACGATGATTGTAGTAGTTCTCCATGTTTCAGCTCCGTACAATAGAACTGCCTGTAGCTCTTCTAGAGTTAATACCGATCCCAAGTTCGGGTAAAGGAGAAGGGTTGGGCATGGGATTAGCGACCCCATCTCGTAGAAGACGAACTCGCTAAAAAACACACTAGATATTCATTTATTTTCAAAATTGATTTTTCATCATTCACTAGTATGGTATACAATTTGACAATGAACTAATCCTTCATCAACTATTCATAAATGAATAATTTATTCGTTGATTTTAGCATCATGGCGATAATGATGATGTTGATTCCATGACCTGAAATTAATTAATTTAAAATAAACATCGATCAATTGACCATGTGTATGTAGGTATGTTTACTTGTTTCTCATTCATTGATTTGTTGATTGTTTATCAATGACAAAAAAAAGAATAGAATTGCATAGATGATGAAAATCATTCAGTAACAGAATTTTGTGTTTTATGTAACACATTCACATTATTTTTTGTTATTATTACTGTTGGTCATAATAGTAATAATAATAGTAATGGTAGTAGTAGTAGTAGTAGTAGTAGTAGTAGTAGTAGTAGTAGTAGTAGTAGTAGTAGTAGTAGTAGTAGTAGTAGTAGTAGTAGTAGTAGTAGTAGTAGTAGTAGTAGTAGTAGTAGTAGTAGTAGTAGTAGTAGTAGTAGTAGTAGTAGTAGTAGTAGTAGTAGTAGTAGTAGTAGTAGTAGTAGTAGTAGTAGTAGTAGTAGTAGTAGTAGTAGTAGTAGTAGTAGTAGTAGTAGTAGTAGTAGTAGTAGTAGTAGTAGTAGTAGTAGTAGTAGTAGTAGTAGTAGTAGTAGTAGTAGTAGTAGTAGTAGTAGTAGTAGTAGTAGTAGTAGTAGTAGTAGTAGTAGTAGTAGTAGTAGTAGTAGTAGTAGTAGTAGTAGTAGTAGTAGTAGTAGTAGTAGTAGTAGTAGTAGTAGTAGTAGTAGTAGTAGTAGTAGTAGTAGTAGTAGTAGTAGTAGTAGTAGTAGTAGTAGTAGTAGTAGTAGTAGTAGTAGTAGTAGTAGTAGTAGTAGTAGTAGTAGTAGTAGTAGTAGTAGTAGTAGTAGTAGTAGTAGTAGTAGTAGTAGTAGTAGTAGTAGTAGTAGTAGTAGTAGTAGTAGTAGTAGTAGTAGTAGTAGTAGTAGTAGTAGTAGTAGTAGTAGTAGTAGTAGTAGTAGTAGTAGTAGTAGTAGTAGTAGTAGTAGTAGTAGTAGTAGTAGTAGTAGTAGTAGTAGTAGTAGTAGTAGTAGTAGTAGTAGTAGTAGTAGCAGTAGTGGTAGTGGTAGTAGTAGTAGTAGTAGTAGTAGTAGTAGTAGTAGTAGTAGTAGTAGCAGTAGTGGTAGTGGTAGTAGTAGTAGTAGTAGTAGTAGTAGTAGTAGTGGATGGTTATCTCATTACAAATGAAAAAAGCAAACACCTACTCTTTCAGAAAATTAATGTTGATTTCAATAGAGTAATTGTATGACTTGTTCCAATTATCTTACGAACACAAATTAACTACCACCTTGATCATGTATCGAATATGTGCTAAACTGTATAATGATTGGTGGTAACGCCATTCTCATACATAGAATGAAATGAGTTTATGTCATAATACAATGGTATATTGTTTGATTGTGAACTAGGAGATTATAAGTTTAAGCTTTAATCAATTCTGCTTGGTTTACGCAAACAAAAACTGTATCATAAGTTATCATGCAAAATAGTGTAACCTTAATAAAAGTAATCTGCACATACTGAATGATATATATATTGAGGTCGTGATTCAAATGATGGTAGACCACCACTGAAAGCCTGGAAGCACTGAACGGTCTGTTCGCCCAATATGTGAATCCTCAACAGTGAGCATCCACAATCCCGCCCTCAGGATTCGAACCTAAGGCTTTCAATCTTGCGCACAAACACTTGGCCTCTAGACCACTGAGCCGGTCAGCATCCAACGATGTTAATGTTTTATTCGGAGGCCTGCGTGCGGGATTGTGGATGTGCATTGCTAAGAAGTCCCATACTAGGACGAAATAACAGTCTAGAGTTTTCAGGGTTTCGCTTATCTGACACTATCTGACTGTGTTCACAAATTTGATCCATGAAAAGACTATAAGAAGAATTTGCATTCATTGAAATAGGTCTACTTGAAAATAGATATCCATCAGAAATTCTTCATTAACTACGATAGATTATGAATCATGATACAGTTGTTAAGACAGAATATTTATAAATATTGACTTCAAAGATAATAGAATTAGTGGATTAACAGATTATGTAATAGATGCTTCACTATAGAATACTTCTATGGTTGAATCACTAACCATTTTATCTGAAACGAATTACTACCCAAAATAAAACAGAATTGGAAAAGCCTTCTTTTCTCAGTAAATCAATCAGTTTACAGTTATGTGGCAAAGTAACTACAGTGGAAATGCGGAGAGGAGAATGTAAATTTGATGGCGCTGGACCTCAATAAGCATCATCATAAGGAATGGATCTTTATGGAAACCCTAGACAAGATAAAATAAAGGAAGAACAAGAAGACAGCAATTAAAAACAGTCGAACAACAACAAAGAAAATCATGGCATAAGCTGAATACATAGAAGTAAACAAGCAAGTGAAGAAAACCATTAGGGCTTACAAGCTGAAATATGTGGAAGATCTAGCATGGATAGTGGAAAAAGCTATAATAAAAAGAAATATGAAACAACTATATAACGCGATGAAGAAAATAGCTGAAAAATATGACGAACGACAGTGACCAGTCAAGAACAAGAACGGCAAGCCAATCACTGAAAGTCAATAACAGAGGAACAGATGGGTAAAACACTTTGAAGAACTTTTGAATAGTCCAGATCCACCATAAGGTGTCATAATTCATCTGAAAGAAGATCATTCAACTCTCAGGAAAGTGTTCAAATTGTTTATTCTGGTTAACGTTTTCTTAACAAGATTGTTTTTTCCAGTCCCTATGCGTTTACCTGGGTTTTGGACTGTTAGTAACCTTAGAAGGGCTACAGATGGAGTTAAATGACCCGATTAGAAAGATATATTTATCGAAAGGATGCCTGGACTGGGTTATACTTGAATTTCCATACCTTCTGACCGATAAGCTACAAAAAAGCTTATTTCTCGTGAGACTATGACATAAGACTTGGTTTTATTTAATTTCTCTATAAACTTCAATCAAGTTTCCAGTATCTTAATTCTTACTTCTGAACTTTATACAACCAGTTTACCTTCTGTTTTGAGAAAAGAATATATCTTTTATTCCTATACTATTCTAGAGTATTCATATTTTTACTTACTTACGCCTGTCACCCCCCAGTGAGGCATAGGCCGCCGACCAACATTCTCCAGCCCTTTCTGTCCTGGACCTTCCTTTCTAGTTCTATCTAATTGTTATTCATTCTTCTTATGTCTGTCTCCATTCCATGTACTTAAATTAATGGTTCCTCTGGTTGTCAGAAGGGGCATCAGTCTCGTGAATTTTGAAGGAACTCGGCTTTTATTATGAGACGTCATAACTCTTCTAAATGAAGACCTTTTAACTCCCAGGGTACAGTTTAAATAGTGTGAATTATCTTTACTGGTTAGTGTTTTTAGCGAGTTAGTGTTCTACGGGATGATGTCGCTAACCCCATGCCCAACCCTACTCCTTTATCCGGGCTTTCGACTGGCAGAAGCCCCAGAAGGACTCCAGGAGGAGTTATTCATATTTTAATCTCCACATTTTAACTCAGTCTATTCTAGACATTTCCGATATAAAGTATGTATATTTGTTTGAATGATTAATACTATGGCTTCAGGTTGTAAGTAGCTGAGGAGTATCCACAAAATGAATGAATTCATGTTATTCTACTACAATATTTGTTCGTTCCTTATTCAAGTTTATATATAAGAAAGGTCCATAGAAAGAAAATGCTGTCAGTTCATCACTTATAGCTTTGCAATAATGTTTCAAAGAATGACATCATGTAATGAAGGTGTGAATCCCACAGAGACCACCCAATTACTTCGAGGTTGTAGATGGATTTCAGATAACATGAGATATGGGTCAAGCAGGGCTTTCTTTCCAATCAACTAACACATTGCATACAATGTCTAATCTCTTCTAGCAGTAGTAACATTGCAAGTTATTCATCCGAATTCGACAAGTTCTAAAGACTATACAAATATGGCATTGATTACTAGCCAATTATCTATCTATATTCGATATCTGTTATAAATTGTGATGATTAGAAAAGTTTACACATTATGATTAATACATAACTAATCTTATTTAAGTTTAGGTCATTATTGTCTTGCCTTATTAATATCTGTCTTTAAATGACCTTACAGATTACTCATAATCATTATCACTTCCTTTATCAGTTTCGGACTATCGAAACAACTGATGAGAACTGAGAAAATAGAATCAATTTATATGACTGGGTTGAAAAGTTAAACTTCTTTTAGATCTAATATATCCTCTCTTTTTCTTCCCAATATATCAAGACATCTTAGAGGATATAGCAGACGAGTAGAAAAGCTAAGGAGAAGAAACGATACTTGTGTCATACAAGTTTTCACATCGAATCATTCATTCTTGGAACCTATTACCTAAAGTTGTGGTGTCCACACCTTTAATTGACTCATTCAAGAGAAGACTAGACAATTACAGAAACATATTAGAAAAGGAATAATATAGGCCATAGGCCTTTTGTCTTTATTATTTTAATAATTGAATTCACGAGTCTATGTAAGCTAAACCATCTTTAAAAAACTGGAAGCACTGGACGGCTGCTGAGGAGTCCCATACTAGGACGAAACGGCCGTACAGTGCTTCCAGGTTTTCGATCGTGATCTAGCTTACACCAACAATTAAAATTACTACAAACCTTATTCTGATCATAATCATCATGTGGTCACTAGTGACTGATTTCAAGATGATTTTATGGAGTTGTAGTATGAAGCTGTGATCACTGGAGTCCAATACGTGTCTAGTAGAGACAAGTATCTGCCTCGGACATTGGACGAATGGTTGCTCAAGATCATAGATCAACTGAAGTTAGACATGAACACTGTTGGATGCCGGCTCAGTGGTCTAGTGTTTAAGCGTTCATGTGTAGGACCAAAGGTGCTGGGTTCGAGTCCTATGCGAAGAATCGTGGATGCTTACTATTGACGGGTCCCATACTATGACCATCATGTGATTCCAGGTTTTCAGGGGTGGTCTAGCTTCTAGTCAACTCATGAATTCAACTATTAAAATTACTACAATCTTCACACATACACACACACCCATCTTGATAAGAGTCCAAATTTATCTCATGATAACCATCATCATATTTTCTCATTCTTCATTTTTATCGCTTAATTATAATCAACAATATGAATGACATCTTACTTACTTACTTACTTACTTACTTACTTACTTACTTACTTACTTACTTACTTACTTACTTACTTATTTATGCCTGTTACTCGCAATGGAGCATAGGCCGCAGACCAGCATTCTCCAACTCACTCTGTCCTCGGCCTTCTTTTCTAGTTCCATCCAATTCTTGTTTCATTTTCTCATGTCTGTTTCCATTTCCCGGCGTAATGTGTTCTTCGGTCTTCCTCTTCTCCTTTGGCCTTCAGGATTCCATGTGAGGGCTTGTCTTGTGACGCAGTTGGGTGCTTTCCTCAATGTGTGTCCTATCCACATCCAGCTCTTCTTCCTGATTTCTTCCTCCACTGGGATCTGGTTTGTTCTCTCCCACAGTAGATTGTTGCTAATAGTGTCCGGCTAATGGATCTGAAGTATTTTGCGTAGAAAATTGTTAATAAACACCTGTATTTTCTGGATGATGGCTTTCGTAGTTCTCCAGGTTTCTGCTCCATACAGTAGAACTATCTTGACATTTGTATTGAAAATCCTGACCTTGGTGTTGGTTGACAGTTGCATTGGGTTCCAGATGTCCTTCAGTTGTAAATATGCTGCTCTTGCTTTACCGATCCGCGCCTTCACATCTGCATCAAACCCACCATTTTCATCAATGATGCTACCCAAATACGTAAAGGTTTTAACATCTTCCAAAGCTTCTCCGTCAATTTTGATTGGATTGGTGCATGCTGTGTTGTATCGGAGAATCCTGCTTTTCCCTTTGTGTATATTGAGACCTACTGCTGCTGAGACTGCTGCTACACTGGTCGTCTTCTCCTGCATTTGTTGTTGCGTTTGGGATAGAAGGGCCAGATCATCTGTGAAGTCTAGATCGTCCAACTGCATCTTAATGTCCCGCGCTTCCCTTCAGACGTTGACGTCTTCATGATCCAGTCGATCACCAGGAGAAAGAGAAAGGATGAGAGTAAGCAACCTTGTCTAACACCGGTCTTCACTTCGAACGACTTTGTCAACTGTCCTCCATGCACGATTTTGCAGTGTAAT